GTGGGAGGCCAGAACTTGGCACCATGGTGAAGATGCCAACTGGGACACCCACATTGCACATGAGAGCGCCTGGTTCAAGTCCCAGCTCCTGCACTTAGCATTCTGGTTGCTGCTGTTGTGCAGCCCAGGAGGCATCAGTGATGACTCAAGTACTTGGGTCCCAGGCCTCTGCTTTGGCGTGGCTTGGCTCTGGTTCTCGTAGATATTTGAACAGTGAACCACTGGGTAGAAAATCTCTTTGCATCGGCCTGTCTTTCAAATATAAAATATTAGTAATATAAATCTTGAAATTTATTTACATATTCTCATCTTTTAGGTCAATAGCAGCAAATATTTAAGCAGAGATGGTACAGTAGTTAGGTGAGGTTGACAGAAGTAGTAGCTGTTGACACAAGATGTTTATGTTAGAATTCTCAGCATTTTTGTCGCATATTAGCATATTAAGAATTTGTAGGAAAGAAAGGAAGCCCTAATATATTTGTTGAGGATTAATGACCTGGTTGAACATTTGTGTTAGTGAATATGTGTGTTATGTAAAATGCCATAAATAAAGTAATTAAAAAGCTGCACACTAAACACTTTGAACTGGCACATAAATTCTCTTCTCTCGCCTTCATGCTCGCAGCCAAGGGAGTAGTAAGTACATTGTCTGCTTTGGTGCGTTAGCATTCTAAGATTAGGAAGAGACGGGAAAGGTATTGCTGATCGGATAGAATCAGATTTGAAATGTTTAGGATTAAGTTATGTATTTTTTTTTAAGTTCAGAAAAAATATCGCAGCAAATGTCATGTTGCTATACAGCAAAATAATGATCATCTTATTGAGGAACTGGGCCATCAGGCAAGGATTAATTCTATTTTGCAGTCTCTTAAAAGAGGCACGTAGAACATTTCAATTGAGAAAGAAAACAAGTCTCCCTCACTTTCAGAAACTATCATTGAATTTGCTTCTAGACATATAGACTACAGTTCAGTGCATCTCTCTCTCTGTCTCTGTTCACACACACACACACACACACTACATTCCTTGCGCTCCATAAAATGTTTTATATTATCAGTGATACGTCAGAGCTTATATGTTAAAAAATAAAAGTGATTCATAGAAATATATCTACATTTGGGCAGAGGCCCAAGGTGAATGGTGAGTGTTGGTGAGCACTGAGTCTAGACGAACACATTACAGTGTGTCTTCTTGCTCCGGCGGATTCAGCCTAGGCAGGTTGCTGAGCACCGGAGCATTTGGGAGGAGAGAAGCTGTGCTGTCACAGTCACGATGTCCTGGCCTTCACGTGGGAGGATAATCCGAAGCCAGGAGCCTCCTCCGGGTCTCCCACGTGGATGCAGGGTCCCAAAGTTTTGGGCCGTCCTGGACTGCATTCCCAGGCCACAATCAGGGAGCTGGATGGGAAGTGAAGTGGGGCCGCCGGGATTAGAACCAGTGCCGGTGGGGGATCCTGGCACATTCAAGGCGAGGACCTTAACCACTACGCTATCGGGCCAGGGCCTCGGCTCACTTCTCCACCCACGATCCTCTCCCTGTTCTCTCTTCACTTCCACCTTCGGTTCTTGGCCCTCCCTGGTCCTTCAGCCTGTGCATGCTTGCTTCTATGTGGTCATTGAGCTCTGCCCACGGCCTTGCTGGCTCCTTTCCTCTCTGACCAATTGCCCTGTCTATTCCGATATCTCTGCTACCTCCACTTCACTGTAGCAGCTCTCAGGCAGGTAACTAGGGACTTCTTCATGTCACATCTCCTTGTTGCCCGTGACATCTCTGCCATTCATGGTTTGTCTTCAGTAAATCTTGTCTACCCTGTGTCCTTGGCTGTGTTCTCTGAGGATTTGCTCTCAGCACCACTCTTGCTGTCTTCACTTTTCACCTATGTTCCTTTTGTGACGTCACCAGCCACCACTGTCTCTGCTACACTATGTGATGATCGCTTGTTTATAAAGCTTTTAAAAAATATATGTACATCTTTCCTTTTTATTGGAAGGACCTCCCTGGCTGCTCCTTTTTGGAACCTGCTGCCCCTGCATGAGTCTTATTCCTGCTGCTCCAGCTGGTGTCCCGTGGCCCTTGGACCTTGCTTTCATCAGAGGGCTGGCTGATACTTTCCTCACTCTTGTGGCATGGGTGTTTAGTATGGGGCTTGGCATACCTTAGCTATTCAATATATGTTTTTAAGATGAAACTTAATAATGACCTTATGGGCTGGCTCAATGGCTCAACTGCCTATTTCTCTGCCTGCAAGCACCAGCATCCCATATGAGCACTGGTTCATGTCCCAGCTGCTTCACTTCCCATCCACCTCCTTGCTTATGGTCTAGAAAAGCAGTGGAGGATGACCCCGAGCCTTGGGACCCTGTATCTTCAAAAGAGACCCAGAAGGGGCTTCTGGCTCCTGGCTTCAGATGATTTCAGTGCTGGCCATTGTGACCATTTCAAAGGGAGTGAGCCAGTGAATGGAAGATCTTTCTGTCTCTCCTTAATGCTGGACATTTGCCTTTGCAATAAAAATTTTTAAAAAGACTATAAATGCATTGATGGTGTAAAAATGATCAAATTGATCTGTAACTTATGCACAGGAGTGCCCTTTAGAAGGGGATTTCTGTGCTGCTAATACTGTTCTGGCTTTCAGGTGGGTGTGTTGAATTCATTGAGCTGTCTGCTTTTTCTGTATTTATGTTCTACTTTAATGAAAAGGTGTCTTTGGAATTCACCTTGATGTCTGGCCTCTCCCATACAGAGCATTTTGTTTTGTCCCTTTCAAGCACTGAGAGTGTTGACTGGCTATTGGTTCAGATGTCACAAACAAGAGCCAGGCTGGGGCTATGCCTGATGCCACAGAAGCTCTGGGATGGTCACGCTGGGACAGAAGCTTGGGTTGGATAGTGGGGTCCTTTGCTGATGGATGGACACCCTGAGTCTGGGGCCTCTGTCAGTCTGACTCCAGGGGCCACATGCTAATTATCAGCTGGCACTGGGGCCTCTCTATAGTGATGGTGGAAACCTCATCCCACATTTAACTATGAATAATTCATAAACGTGGTTATCTGGAGATGTGTAGTCATTAGCATTTTAATGAAAAAATACAGTCATTATCCTAAGTCTCTGTTTTGTTTCTACTTTTTTTTTTTTTTTTGTCTCTCCCCCTACTGCAGCTAACCATCTCAGTCTTTCCTGAGATCTTGGGGACTGCCGAGGCCCCTGCTTGTTGTGCTGGCTGTCGCTATGGGCCGACGGTACACGGAGGCCCTGTCGTGCGCGCGGCTTGTGTATGTATGTGCTTGCGCCCTCTCTTTTTTCTCTGTCTCTCTTCAATTTTCATTGTAGAAGATCATAGGCTACTAAGCTGGTGAAGGTGTTTAGACTTAAATGCGAATGTTTAGCACTGCCTGAGACTGACTCACTCTAAGCTACTCAGTTTTCAATTTTGAATGGTAGACAGTGCTACTTAAATGGTGTTTTTTTTTTTTATAATTAAATGGCCAGCCAGAAATCCTCTGTTTCTGCATCCATCCATACACAGGCATTTTATGTCTTTTAAGGTTTCTTTTGTTGTCACAATATAGAGCATGTGAAATAAGTTTAAAAGGTTTTTCAGTGATTTTTTTTCTCCTTTGTAGCTTCTGTTGAAATTGTCCATGTCTTTGTTTAGTGTGTCTGAGGGAGAGTCCTGTGATGGTCAGTGGACATTCTGCAAACTAGGGGACTGTCCCCTCCACCCTCGCTGATGGCATTTGGTGACCTGCAACACTCTGGTATTTCCAGCTGCTTTTGGAGAACCACTGTAACTGTGGTGTGTTCCCACTCACCTCAACACCTGGCTGGCTTAGGAGAGAGCTGACTGGCCAGTTGCACGAGCTCCCTTGATGGGCATAAAGGACAGTTTGTTTCAGCCGTGTTCTTGGCTCTCTTTAGTCTTGGAGCCTGGAGCCAGCTGTGTGGCTGTTTATTCCTTTCTGTTGCTTCCCTTTGGAGCCCGCTGGAGCTGTGGCCTAAGATCTTGGGGACCGTAAGGGCTCATTCCCACAGAGCTTTTGTCTTCCTGTCCTTGTGTTTACCACAGGCATCTGGAAGTCCTACTCCCTGGACCCCTCAAGGCTTCCCCCCATCACCCCCGAGGGAAGTTAGAACCACCACCACCACCACCCCCAAGCTCCTACCTGGACAATTGCTTCTAAAATAAACTGGATAGCTAAGAGCAGTGATGTGTTGCTGCACTGGGAAGGTGTTGCTGACAACAGAAGTGGAAGTCAGACCAGCTAGCAGCTCCCAGGGCTGCAGTGGCCAGGTTCCTTCGGATGGTGCTCTGGCATATCCAAGGGCACTGGCTGCTTGTTGCTCTGCAATTAGCAGTTGCTTTTGTGAACATCATCAAAATAACATTTCTGTACATCTGTATGCAGACTAGCATTTAGCAAACTGTAGCCCAGTGGCCACAGTCTAGCCCCTGCCTGTTTTCGTAAGAGTTGCAGAAGGATAGTTCATGTTTTTAAATAGTTGGGGTTTATAGGGGTTGTGTGCTTGCCTACATAGGCTCTGCTTTGTCTTCTGGCCCTTAAAGCCTGAGACACCTGTGACCGTGTGCACACTGGCTTGGCTCATCCCTGCTATAAAGGGAGGCTGCAGAGTATGTCCTGCGGTCACTCCACAGGCACTTGTGAGTCCCTGACCCTTTTTTGACCTGTACCAATCCTCATTTCATTTGGTTCCACCTAACATGTTTTTCTTGAGAATTCTTTCACAATTCTAACGTGCAGGCCTTCTGAGCAGAGGAAGTGAGTGTGTCTGGAGAAGACATTTGTGTGGCAGCACCGCCTTGGGGAGTGTGTGGTGTGGCCCCATCAGGCCTGGGCCTTTGCCTAGCTTGCAGCGGACCACAAACTGCATGGTTGCATGCTGGCCAGCTGCGGCTGGGGAGTGCCTCCTCCTCACCTGATTCACTTCTTACCAAGAGCTCACCCGGAGAAAACAGTCTGCTCATCCTGAGTGCCGGGAACATGCTGACCATCGAGAGACTTGAGAAGGCTCCGGGTACTACCCAAGGCTCTGCTGGGTGTGGTCCCTGTGCTTGCTGAAACTTTGGGGAGAGTGAGTGCCTTTTCCTGGTCCACATGGCCCACTGCTGGAGCGTTCCTTCCCTGGCACCTACAGGTGGATGTCACCACGTGTTGTTTCTATTCTGATCGTGTTTGGTACTCTGGATCCCTGGTCCTGCATGTTAACTCTGTCATTTGTTTCATGTGGTTTGTTTTCCCATCCTCCTGCTTTCCTTTTTGCCTCCCAATTATCCCATCATATCTGCTTGTTGAAGCCTGTGGCTGCAGTGGCCACCCTTAGTGGTTGGAATCTTGGGCCTTGGCCACTCTGCCTCTTCCTGTGTACTGGTGGTGGTGGTGGGAAGCCAAGAGGACTTGACATCTCTGTATCAGGCCTGTGTGTGTTCAGGGCCATACTGTTCCCTAGAGGGAAGCCAGCTCAGGGAAAAAAATTGTTTTTGCCCTGGTGGTTATAATTGTGTTATTAAGCATGGTCAAAACCATTGGCCAAGGGTTGGCAGGACATCCGGGTGTGCCCTGGGTTGTTTTGGAGGGGAGGGGCTCAGATGTCGAGCTGGGGTTTTTATTTTCTTTCTTGCTGTTTGGGGATCATTGTTTTGCCTTTCAAGGCTATCTCCTTTCAGGACAGGATGCTGTTCTTTGATGGAATGTGGAACGGCATTCATCGAGCACCCAAATTAGAAGTGCCTGGCTAGGGGTGGCCTTTCTAGACTTGTCATACAGATATTTGTGTTTGTACTAAAACTGGCATCTTGTTCACTGCTGTTTGTAATCAGCCATTCCTTGACATGCCTGCTGCTTCCACTCCCACCACTGATGTCAGGACTCTTGTGTGGTTCTCTAGGTCTCTGGCCCGTAAAGCTGACCCTGTACATGGTGGCCAGATTGACCTACCAGAGGCACAGCTCTGACCCTGCTTCCTCCCTGTCTGAAGATGTTTACCGCGTCCCTGGTATTCCAGAAGGTCACCCTGACATTTGAGTGCCCTGCTTTTTCTTTTCCCCGTCCTTATTTTTTAATACTGATTACTCACGCTATTGTGGCTATTAACATTATAACCCTCCAGTCAATGTCCTATGCCAGCCCGTGTGGACTGCTCCTGCCCTTCCCTTCCGTGGAGCTGCCTGCTGAGACCCCACTGCTGCCTTCTAGGTGCATCTTACTAGGACGTGTCCCTGGCTTCTCTGCTGGAGACCATGCTGCCAGAGCTCCCCAGGGTCCCCATTGACAACGTGTTTACATCGCTCTTTGTGTTTGCATGTGAGGACCAACTTGGATGCAATTTGACACAACTCAAGTTCATTTGCTTGCCCTTTTCAGTGAGTGAGGCCAGGGTGTTGTCTGTGATGGGTGCTACGAATGGCTTATAGAGTGTTGTACTGGGCTTAGGGGTGGCACTGAAGTATTTTCTGGGGGTATTCACAGAGTTCACACAGCCCAGCATGGGGGAATGTCAGGCTCCCGAAAAGCCCCAATGGCTGCTCACCCACCAGGGCATGCTCTCTGCCTCACCTTCCCTCCCACTCCACTGGTGGTGATTTCCTGTCTTGATAGCCATAGTGAAGTGATGATGACAAGTTTCTGCAGTCACATGCACCTGCAGTTGATTCCTGGCTTTGTCTCCTTGGCACAGGTGAAAACCATCATCACTGGGCTTGGGCCTCTGCTGTGTCTTGTCTTTACCAATATATTTCACTTTGAAAATATCTTCTGATTATCTGTGGTTCACAGATGAGGAAACCCAGCTTGGAGATGACTAAGTAGCTTGATAAAGCAGAGTCACATTTTGAGCCTAGAATTACCTGTCCTCCCTCATCTGTCATAGCCGCATCTTCCCCACTTCCTCATCCCCTTGAAGGCAGGCTAGTGGCATGGCCATTGTTTGCGTGTTTCCTTATATAGGTGATCATCCTCTTCATTCTGAACAGCCTGAAAAGCTTGGCATGAAAGGATGCCAGCACCTGTCTTGTGTTTCCTCTCTTACCAGCCAATGTAATGTGAAGGTTGGGGGGACACCCTTCCTATGGAAAGAAGAAGGAAAACAGTCATGGGCCTCACAAGTCCCTAAACATACAGCTGGCAAGTGTTCAGTGGTGTTTTACAGTTTTCAATGTATGAATCTTACTCTTCTGTTGTTAAATTTATTCCTAAATTTTGTAGTACTCTGATAACTGTTATAATTGGGGTTATTTTTAACTTCCTTTTCAACTTATTCATTGCCAGCATATGGAAATAGTATTGAGTTTTGTATATTGATCTTCTATGTCTACTGAAGTGTTCATTTTGTTGAAAGATACATATGTATCTTCTGTGAAATATATATCTCACTTCCTTCACTTTTGGAGTTTCTAGAAGATTTGGTGGAAGTCACCTGCCATTCTTTCATACTGTTTTATTTTTGGTTTTTTCCAATGATTTAAATACATTTCAACGTCTTTTTATAGTTATTCTGCTTCTGCCTCTTGGGCACAGATTTTCCCATTTACATTGGCTCTCTATTATGCTGCACTGTTTTCTTGTTTGGGTTGTGCGAGTCTCTTAGTGGGAATTTGACAAGAGAGTTCTGGGTGATGGTAGTTTCTCATTTGCTTCAGTTAGTGGCCCCTGGGCGTCACAGCTTCTGGCCCTGGGCCTGATGATGCAGGGGTGTTGTATCAATGGATTCCACCCCTCCACGTGGGGGCAGTCTTGAGATCCTGATTTCTTATTGGTAACACATGACCCTTTCTCCTCTGTGAACCTGCAAAAGCTTGACTTCTAGACACACGGGTCATGTCATGTTCTAATGGCCTTTCAGGTCTCAGAGCATCAGCTTTTTCTTGCTGATTTTAACCTCCATGATCACTTCTAAACCTGGGATTTATTTCTAATGACTTTGATTTTCCCTTTGTGTTTAGAAAGTGGCTAGTTATTCCTTACTTAACGTTTTTGCCAGCAGAACCTTTCCTGTCATCTCAGCTCTTGTATCAGTGGAAGCCTTTATCAACACAGGCTGGTGGAAGAATCTCAAGGCCTTTGAGCCACTAGATCGCCATTCCTACTTTCTGAAGAATTGTCTTATTTTTCCAAATTTCCCGGATACTTGCTCATGAATGCAAACCTGCACCTGTTCCCACAAGCACTGAACTCTGATGACCTCAACGAACGATGCAGATCCTTTAAAAATGAAACTGACAGTGTCCAGAACGGAGCACGTTGATGGGTTGCAGAGTCATGAAGGAAGTCCATGGTTTATTTACCTCCAAGCTTTCTATGCTTCCTAGACCTATTTACAAATCTGTGCTAAGAAGTGGGCAAGAGCAGGGATGCAGTACTGAATATTCTATAGGAAGTGTGGTGTTAAGGGGGTACCTTGACTTATTCTTCAGGTTCTGTCCTTTATGGAAGGTCCTTAGATGTATGGGATTCTTTTTTTATTCCTCCTCCCCAAGTCTTCCTCAGAAATGTCCAAATCTGGGATAAGTTGATCTCAATCTTAGCTGCATCCTAACAATTCTGTGGCAAAGATTTCTACTATCGTCACTCAGTTACTGACAAGGAGATGCGTGGCCTAGCGATGGCTTCACAGGAAGTGCCGGAATTGACATTGGAACCCAGGCCATCTGGCTCCAGGGTCTGTGCTCTTAACCCCTGTGTGGCTACTTGAGTATGGGTGAAAGGAGTGAAAGAGGGTGATGAGAATGAGAAGTTGTAGAACAGGGAGGACGTTTCAAGGTCACAATTGGCAGTGGAGGGTCTTAGATGACTACAGATTGCTGGAGGTGAACGATACCCAGGAAGTCATGGAACCAGAATGACAAGGTTGAGGCTGAGTCCTTTCCTGCATGCTGGGTGCAGAGACTTGAGCAGGGACAAGATGACATGAGGTCTCCACTGCCGTGGCGCTTTGGTGTATTCTAAGAATGGCAATCAGCCTGTAAAAGTCCTTCCAGGAATGTAAGTCATTGTGGGTTGTGCTACCTGCCATGAAAGGCTGAGCAATGTGATGTGGGGTTCTGGGCAGGATCCACGTGGCGTGAAGTTACTGAAGACCACCTCCCTGAGGAAGTTGATGTTTGAACTGCCATCTGGAGCATGGGGTCGTGCCCAGCCTGCCAGGCCATGGGAACGGAGTGACAGGCCTAGGTGAGCATGAAGTTGGGGGAAGTGTGCCAGGCCCGAGGATCTTGTGGATTACATTGTGTGACTGGAGCACTAAGGCAAGCCATGAAGGACTGAGCAGGTAGGTGGGCATGTTGCAATGGGAGATCCAGGGTGCTAAGTGAGTGCATCTGTTGGATGAAGGAACAGGGCAGGGAACAAGAACAGAGAGAAAGCTGTGTGGGGCAGTATGCTTATTAAACCCAGTGCTTGAGTAGTGAGAAGCACAACTCCAGGGGCCTTTGGGCCCAGGAAACAGGGGCCCTGACCCCGGGGCTAACTTAGGAGGGTTCAAGCTGCAATGAGGATTTAAGGCAACCAGGCCTGTAGACGTTGGATTGCTCTGGAGTTACCCACCCTTGGGAAGCAGGCAAAGTTAGCTTGTCTCTTCCCATCTCCTGCCCTAGTTTTACTGACAGAACCTCGATGTGCTTCAGGGTGGCATAAGAATTCCACAGTAATCAATCAAGGATTGTGGTGGTCTTCAGGTCCTCATACCATTCTGAGCCTCAATTTCCCAGCATTCCTTGGAGTGAATGTGCCCCATGTGACATAGTTTTGGCCATTGAGACTCAAGAATGAGACCCACCCTCCTTAGGGAGTGGATCTCTGGGAAAGAAAATATAAGCCTGTCGATGCCATTCTTTGCTTTTCTGTTTCTTTCTGTCTTACAAGCTGATGAGATGGCTGGATATACAGCAGTCATGTCACTGTGAGGTAGCAAGCATGACCTACTAGGGATGGCCACCTTGTCATTGTTGTTCCTGAGCCAACACCAGCATCTCTGAGCCTTCTGGCACCTTCCTAACATAGCCATTCTCTGCTGGGATCACCTTGGGATGGAGCACAGTGTTACATGAAGCCCTTGTGAAGGAAGAGAGGTTACGAGTCTTTCCCCAGAGGCTGTGATAGCCTCAAAAATGCCCTTGATATTGAGTATGACCTTTCATCCATGCAAAAACAGGTGCTGAAAAACAAGTTCTGACTTGTATTAGAAGTTGTTTACCGGGCCCGGCGCGGTGGCGCAAGTGGTTAAGGTCCTCGCCTTGCACGCCCGGGATCCCATATGGGCGCCGCTTCTATCCCGGCAGCTCCGCTTCCCTTCCAGCTCCCTGCCTGTGGCCCGGGAAAGCAGTCGAGGATGGCCCAAAGCTTTGGGACCCTGCACCCGCGTGGGAGACCCGGAAGAGGCTCCTGGCTTCGGATTGGCATAGTATCGGCCCGTTGCACTCACTTGGGGAGTGAATCATCGGACAGAAGATCTTCCTCTCTGTCTCTCCTCTCTGTATATCCGCCTTTCAAATAATAAAAAAATAAATCTTAAAAAAAAAAAGAAGTTGTTTACCATCAAAAGGGATGGTTCGTGGACTTACAAATTTTCAAAATAAGTAAATGTGTCTGTGTGAAGTTGCAGTGGCAAGTGCCAGCATTATTCTCTTCCTCATCGCCTTTTTTATGATCCTCATAGTTGATTGTCAGTACACTGCATTGTGTTATTTATGGCTTCGTGGGAAACCACCAGGACTAGGGTAATAGCGTAAACAGGCTGATTTCTTGAAAATGCAAAGCTCCAGGAGACTTTATAAGATCTCAGGCTAATGGTATTATTACATTTTCTGCCTCTTTTTGAATTCCTCATGGCTAAGTTCCAAGCTGGTGATTTTAAGAAATGCAAGGACTGATGCTATATATACATTTATGGCAGGGGATAGGAGACCACATATCCTGGAATTCCAGTCGCTGAGCTGAGGGAAGAAGGGGGAGGACAGAACAATGTGGATTTTCTTTTTTCTGTCTTGAGCTTTGGGATCA